CTTGCAAGACCTGGGGGCTGCTGATGTCACCTTGGATGACCGGCTCTTGCTTTGCCTTCAACCATCCTGCATAGGTCGGGTTGATCTCCACGTGGCAACGGACCCGACAACTGAGGTATTTATATCCAGCTGTCATGATGGCATATCCAGAGCAGATGTCAATGACTTCTGTTGCAGTCGAGCTATCTGCCATGGCATGGATCTGGATCAAGGAAGGTTGTGCTTCCAGAACTTGAAGTCCGTCTTGGGTCCTTTTGGAGGCGGCAATGACCGAGAACCGATCTCCAGTGAGCTTCACTCCAGCTAGTAGAAACCGTTGGCCTTTCATCAACGACGTGCAATGAAAGGCGGACCTTTGGTGGTCATAGAACCAGGCTTTGCCTGAAATGGTGATCGTCCCACCATCAGGCTCGCTTTCGATCCATGGCTCAGGGTCAAACATTCCCTCCCGTGCCTTTGGCCTGCACGGGTGTACCTGCTGGTAGGAGCTCGGGCCGACACCTAGCGATGACCTCCAACCTAATAGCGATAGCCTCCAACCAAATAGCGATGGCCTTCAACTAATAGCGATGGCCTCCACTCTAATGGCGATGGCCTCCACTCTAATGGCGATGGCCTCGAACGTAAAAGCAATGGCCTCCAACCTAATAGTGATGGCCTCCAACCCAATAGCGACGACCTCCAACCTAATAGCGATGGCCTCCAACTTAATAGGGATAGCCTCCAACCTTAAGTTTCCCGTGCGAGGGCTTTCCTGCGTCCTAAGTAGTAGCTACTTAAGCTACTAGCTACCTCTTCTACTAGCTACCTACCTCCTAGTAGCCTACTCAAACGGCGGAGGCGTTTTTCTGACGCCCTTCGGGTTTGTAGGCGCACACTCAACTCGCCACTGGTTTCAAGACAGGGCGAATTCGACCACACAAACGGTCCGTCCGTGCTTCTTTCAAGGAGATGAGTTGACCCGATATGAAGAAAGGGAACCGTTGGAATTCTCGAAAGCTGTCCAAACGATGTGTTCTTGCAGTGAGGCACCCAAGGCTGTTTCGTTCTGTGTGTGGTGCTGTAGAAAGCCCCAAGCTAGAAGAAGATCGAGAGACATTCACGCTTCTGCGGTGGTTTGGCTCGTCCCATCCAGTGAGTGGACCATGGGCACCGTTTGACACCCTTTGTGACTGCTGAAGACCCGGATCTGGATGAGTTTCTTGTTTCACTCACCTCGGCTCACCCAAGAAGCAACAACACACGACACACTTTCTATGGCTCCATTGGACAGTCGACGTGCCCTACAGACATCATTGTCCAAGTGATTTAAGTCGCAATTGACAAGGAAACTTTTGGAAACAAACTGTACGTGGGTTGGTATAAGCTATTTCTTGGGATTTCCAAGTCTGCTCCAACCTTCCACCGACGGACCGAACAGGTTGCATGCAGTTGCACGGGCCAGCGAAGAGTCTTCAGCTCGCAAAGATGAGCTATGAGAACAAGGCCCACAACCGCTCGTCTCCGTCCCCCATCCGGGCAAAACCCGGCGTTTCGCCGGTGCAGAGGATCCCGGAACACCGCTTCAGCGGGTCCCACATCGACCGGTTCAGTGGGTCGCCAACAGATACACGTCCTCGGCGACCTCCCGGTCCCTCAAATCCATCGGGATTGGATAGATATGAGTGAATATTGTGAAGTGTCGTTTCAGGAAGTGTCCCGAAAGCCATGTGCCGAAAAAAGACGCGTTGTCTTGTTTGTTTTTCTCTGCCAGAAGTGGATGTGCCGCCGCATTGGCTGGATCTGGGGAAATTTGCTGCCAGATGTTTGCCTGGAATATCCTTTGACCAAGCCCATATTACTTTATAGATCCACCGTGATCCAACATCAAGTCCCCCAACACATCACCAACACATCCTGGCATGGTCGTTTGAATATGTTTGAATCGTTTGACCAGCCTTGGCTTCGCTTCGCAGGTTCGGTTTTTTCGTTCGGTTTCGGAAGCCTTTGTGGGGGATGGGACGCTGAACACGGCGGATTGACCCTTAGGGGGGAAACGGATCCAACTCGGCAGAAGCGATGGGCTCCATCCAAAGCGATACGACTCTTGCTTGGATTTCAATCAAGTCTATGCCGCTTTTGGAGGGCGACAGGGGGGGTCTGGTGGTTGGCATCATTTGCATCGACCGGTGTTTTTCAGGTTTTTTCAGCCTTAAGAACCTGCTTTTCACACCGGTGGAGCAGCCAGAATCCCTTGAAACATGGACCGTCTTTGCAGAAGTCTCTAAGACACAGAAACAGAAAATGCTCCCTAAACAGTCCACATTGTGTTCAACGCTGAGTCCTGAGGGGCTTGCTCTATGAGTCTTTGAGGCTTACTCACCTTCACTTCACATCAACGCCATATACTTTTTTCCATGCAAAAGAGTCCCGTATGTGTGGGTGGGGCTCCTTCCTGGGGTGCAACAAAATACATCCGAGTGCCCCAAGCATTGCTTCCTGATGTTCGCGTTTTGAAGTCCGCGTCGTGCACAGGTCACAAGGCAAGAGATCAAACATCTTGCAGTCCAGGCACGGTCGAAATCTGTCACGAACATCAACGGACCAGGGTCTGGGATCAATAAGTATAGTATAGTATAGTATAGTATAGTATCCTAGACCATGTAAAAGAATGGTTTGGGACTCCCAGGGGTATAACCATCCAAAATACGAGAAGTGGGAATCAGATCCCTGAATTGCTCGGATCACTGTCAGGACACGGGCGTTCTCGGGTGGTGGGCATGGCCTATAGGGAGTTGCTGGAAGTGCTCCAAGACTGGAAGAGTCTTCTTGAAACAATTTGGGAGCTTTGTGTTATGTTTTTTCGTTTCGTTGGTTCACTCCTCTATTCTATGAACACTATTCGTTTGCCGATGAGATGATGCGAGTCCTCACTCTTCGAGTCCTCACGTCCGTTTAAAGCCTGCGGATCCTGGCGTGGAGTCCCCCGAAGGGAGGTGTCAAATAGGTGATGCAGCCTGTCGGATAGACAAGCACGCTGCTGGATCCACGACAGTGTGATCGTGAGGAGACGTCACCACATGGGAAGCATGCGTGATTCGTGGGAGGTCAGTTTCCCAAAATAGCGGAGTTCATGGAGCAAGTCGGTTTGTTCTTGGGTTGGAGACCAACTAGTACCCCATGGCATAAGCTATCTCAAATTCTACGAAAAGTTACAGCATCCTCCCAATGTGCCATGTTCTGACTGCAGCATGACCAGAACGAAAAAACATTCAGAACTTCGAGGTGCTTAGATGGTTTGAATGCAGGCCCGATGATTCTTTTGTGGACCAATGTGGGATATGTGCATCTCAAAAGATCAGGGAAGATCTTTTTGATGGCTGGAGAGATGATGTGTTGAGATCCAAACAGAAAATTCTGGAACATGTTTGGGTGCATATCCTTCACCAGGAGTTGTTGTATGATGTTTAGGTCCATGTTGTAGCTAGGAGGAGGACTTCCTGTGTTGGTGTTAACACAGGCGGCGTTGTGGTAAGTGGTCTTGCTTGGGATTGGAACCCCAATGGCACTCCATGGCACTGGAAGAGGGACCGTTCACCGGGTCAGACAATGGTGGCGGTACATGTATGGATGGTCAACCTCCTTTTTAGTCTCGTCCATACATTGGTGTCTGCATGGATGGTGTCTGCATCGGATGCTTTGGAACATGTTGGATCCTTTTTCCGGTGCCCTCCATGTCATCCGACAACGGTCTCTCCCCCACGTGGACGCGACACCCAAGCCGAAGCGACGTGAAGCCGCAGGTTTCACAACTCTTGGTGCACTTCAAATTGGACGTGCAACCTTTGAGGGCCACGCACCGCGAGCCTCGCGCACCCTCCCTGTCGTCGCAGAAGAAAAAAAAGGAAGGATCCGAGAAAGCGGCTGCGCGCGTGTGTGTTCTGCGCCAAGTGACCGAGTGACCGCTGGTCCCGGGACCGCACGACGCACGACGCGCTTGGATGAAAGAGTCGACGTGTTGATCTGGAGGATATCAACGGCAGAACACGAACGAAAAGGCGATGCGTCGCACCCTCTTTTTGGTGGTTCTTCAAGATGTGGGGGGTCAAAAGGTGTCAACACTCTGTGGCTGAAAAGGAATAATAGACCGAAGGAGCAAAGCTGCCTTAGCTTTAGCCTTCCGTTCGACCGTTGAAAGAGTTCGGTTGACCTGCCAAATCCTCAGCTTATATAGAACGGGTTGTTTGGTTCAGAACCATCAAATGGCGGTTGGAATCATGGTGTTTGGGGCTGCCCATCCTCCCTCAGGTGAACTCTGCCGTGAACTCTTCCGCCCACCGATTTCGAGCGGCGATGCGTCGGCTTCGCCAGGCTCGACGATGACCTCCACGGGCCTGAGCTTCTCCAACGTGCTCCGCATCACGGACGACAGCTCCCGCTTGAGCCAATGCCTGCGAGAGGCCGTGGCGACGTGGCGCGTGGTGACGTGGCGAGCCGCGGGGCGTGGAATCTGGCTGCGTGCGGGAGGGTGGTGCCTGATTCGCAAAGAAAAAGATTCACAGGCAAGGTGGTTATAGCTTTTCCGCATCAAAAGAGAGGCATAGCTGGAGTGTTTTCATGTGTTAGAGAGGTATCCTGTGTGCTCTTGGTGTGGCAAATTCTGGGGTTGTGATTTGTGATTTGAAAACCGCTGACATGCTGAACTACGAGCGCTGACATCCTGCTTCGACAGCGGGGATGAGCGCCCCGAATCGAAACGTGCAGGCGCTGAAAGGGAACTTGGTGCCCTTGGTCTTGGCAGAAGAGGGCGCCAAGCAGCATGCCATGGAAGCCTTGTTGGCAGCAGGCCCTGGTGTTTTGAAGCGATTTGATGAAGGACGGTGTGACCTTCTGTGTTTGGCGCTTGGAAATCTGACCACTGGAGATCTTTCGACTCTCATGACCTCACAAGTCTTGTTAAAGGGGTGTTGGAACTGACGAGACATGGAAGCGATACTTTTGGGGCACGTCCATGGCAAAAAGGGCATAAAAATGTGCATATTCTCTTGCGGGCCATGGTCTTCAAGTGCAGGATGGTGGGAAGAAATGCTCGATCAATCCCCACTTCGCACATCAGGCTCAGACTTCACCATCTCCAAGATCCACGGACTGTGTTCGGATTAAAAGCAGAAAGACTATGTCCCAAACATGAGGAGGCTCCCAAACCAAGCGCAGGGGGTTGGTGATTTTGGTGGTTATCTGATTCTTGCCGGGCTGGTTGGTCTCAGTGCGCTCTGGCAAACACCTGGTGACTTCTTCGGCTTCAACGCTTCGTTCCCCCGAGCTGGAGCGTGCCCGAGCGGCTGGGACGGTCGATCGTCCAGGGGCACGAAGGCACCAGGAACGGCACCGGTTTGGGCTGATGCCACACCTAGACCCAAGGGCACTAGCCTCGAGGATATAGCACGGCCTGGAACGCGTCGTGCCCTAGTCAGGCGTCATGACCGAGCCCAGTGCACAGTGCGTTTCTTTGCGCTTGGCGGCCTTGGAGCAGCGGCGCCAGCGGGACGCCCGCCGTTCCGGGTCGTGCCGCGAAGCGACGCGGGGTGCGGGGGTGCAGAGAGGACGTCCGGGGGAATCGGTGCGGGTTCCTCCGACCGGTTTCGGGTGGTCACCAGACACGACGAGTCGACTGCCGGACTGCCTTCGTTTCACGGTGGTGCCAGGGGGGTCAGATCGGCAGTCCGGAGTGGCAGTCCCATCAGTCGTCGCGTCTGGGGATGGTTTTTTGGGGGACCCAATTCTGCCGCCGGAAGAACGAGGAATCAGAGGGATTGGACCTGGAGCGGAGCTGTTTTCACCAAAGGAGTCCGTCCTGTGGAGGAGTGTCCCGTATATTTTGTTCGAGCATTTCTGGGAGACGCAAAGCACCAAAGTCCCACGTTGCTGTTGGTGAATTGCCAAGAAACTGCTTGCAGAATGCATGCGCCAAGAGTATGTAGCGGCTAGCTATAGTCATCGTGGTATTTGCCATGCTTTTGTGATACTGACCCAGAGCTGCCAAGCATGTGCTTTTCACACAGATACCTTCTGGATAGAGGCATTGAACCGCAAACCGGCAGAGGTTGACAAACCCTATAAAGACTATCCTATAGGTACCCCTGTAGCGGGTCCTAGTTCAGGTCACTGGCTACCTCTGTAGGAACGTTGATGGAAAACTTGAGACTCCTCGAAGCGCCGACCCGGATTTGGGAGGGCAGGGCATGGAAGCGAGCTGTTCTCAATACACCGGAGACGTGCAGAAAATCCACGGAATCGTCCATGGTACACCCTTCTATCTACCAGAAGAACACCAGTATATCCAGCATACCCTTAAGCAGAAAAGACATTCTCTGGTGTCTTCCATGCGTCTATCTCTTCCATTCTTCTAACCGTGACGCATCCATCGACAGACGCCAACCGTCTGTGGCTCCCAGAACCCCAAGGGCCCCAAATGGCTTCGGACCCCCGGACCGAACGGGAAGCACCAAAGCGTCGGAGAGACGGAGATACGACGCAAGAGATAGAGAGCGATCGAGGGGAAACACACGGAGATACGACGCTGGCGAGACCACTTCTGAAACAAACAAGAATTCCATCTCGACCGGTTGTATACCGGCGGATCTCCGATCTCTCCAGGTCTACCGGGCTCATATGGTATAGGGTCAACCTATAGGGTTTTTGGGTCAACCACGATCTCCGGCTGGAGTCCTCACGATGCACGTCGCGTCGCCGTCGCCGAGGATTACAAGCGCTTCTTCACCGACGCCTTGACGTCCTCCATCCGCTCCGGGAGCTGCTTCACGCCGCCCGGATGGAAGAGAAAGAGGTCGACTCCAGCGAACGGGGGGAACAAGGAGCACTGGTAAAGTGGCGGACTATCAACTCTCGCTTTTTGGTGGACGAGCTTTGAACCAGCAGTGTTTTTGTTGCAAAGCGTAGGGAAGGAGCAGTATGAGTATGAGTATGGTGAGCTCGGTTGTGCTCAGAGGTTTGAGCAGGAACAGTCAAAAGAAAACTTGTAGAAACCACAGTCTTTGAGGCTTGAAGCTGCGATGTAGCAGTATGACGAAACAACAGTATATATAAAAATTGTGCGCACAGAGTTGCAAAGGAGGTCAAATCAACCCGAACTTCCCTGTTTCTGATCGAAATTCTTTCGGTTGACAGTCTGTCTATAGGCTGGAGTTCGGAGGGTGTGAGCTCATGTGGTTTTGGAGGACAGCTGCGATGCATTATTGTTTTAAATGCCGAGAGCCATTTGCACAAGTGGATGGAAGGAAGGCTGAACGCCATCACACCTGGCACTGGGCACAACTGTCCATTCGAGCAGTTGACTAGAAAGTTTTATGACAGGCCAAGAAGTGTTCTTCAACAAACACAAGGGGGAAAACACATATTAGAAAGTACCACACGGGTGCCAGGTGCCTATTGCTGGGGTTGCTCATCAGCTGGTTCTTGAGTTTCGGGCTACTGAGCATACTTCTTTCACGTCATTCAAAAGAATTCCTTCCTCTTCTTCAGGGCTTTGCTATGCAACCAGGGCATTGGCTTTACTAAGCTTCATTCCAAAGAGACCATTGAACGACCAAAAGACTCCGAGAGCTCTCGAGGCTGGTCTTCGAAGATGACGGCCATGCGGAAGACGAAGAAGGTGGGCCGGTGTTCGGGGAACCCCCCCGCAGACGCTCCGTGTGTTCACAGCCCTTGCCCCAGTCCCTCGAAGCCGGATTTGGTTCGGGTCCGGCCTCGTTCCTGAACGGGTCCAGACTGCGCATTGCGTTTGGGTGAAACCACCAGGTTGGCTGCAGCGGACACCGCAGACGAGCTCCATGGAGGCCCAAAGGGCACTGGCGCACGTGGTGGAGCAACGGTGTGGGAGCCACCGGCGGCACCGGGAGCTCTCCCAGCGCTTTCTCTCGGTCGAGGTGGAAGACGTCCACGATGTATTCTCCGTCTCAGCACCAAAAATGTGGGAAGAAAAAAGAACAGAAAGGGCGGACACATCTTAAGAAAGAATTGAGAACCCCCAACAGTAAACTGTTTGGGGAAACTTCACATGGCAGAAACCATGAAAATGGGCAAAACCTGCCATCACTCGGTCCGACGAGTGAACAGTTCGGTGGTGATGAGAACCTCTGGTGCCCTTTCCATCGTCGGACAGTCCGGGAGGTTGGAAATGCACCGCACAGTCAACAGGTGGGAAGACTGGGCTGGGCGTCTCCTAAACATCCTTCCAATTTGAGTAGTCCTATTTCATGAGGATGAGGATGATGAGGATGATGGTTCAGTTGCAGGCCTTTCCCTCAAATAGTCGACACTTGTGTACCGACTGTTAGAGGTCAGCTACATACAATATGGTTCAAGCTGCCTTTGAATTTGAAGAACGGACAGCAACCGCTGTGAGCATGTTTCTTTTGCACATTTTAGGGGTTACGGAGTGGCATGGCCCCTAACATGGCTCATGGTAAGAAAATAGCATATATTATGATTGGTTTTTTGGTTAAAAGATAACAATTGAATTTGGACTCAGTCCAAACTTGCGTGGTCTATCCCAACCAGGATGGTGATAGATCTTCCATGTTCCGTCTGGTTTTGGACGACTGGGACGGGCCGTGTCGAGCGTCTAGGTGCTCCCGGACGAGTGGAGCTTGTCGCGCTTCTTCAGCAGCTGCTTGGAGCAACGTTCGGCGGCGTTGCGGGCTTCTCTCGGTTTCAACCACGTGAACTCAGCGAACTGGGGAGAGAAGCTGTCAATTTGTAGAAAGATTCCGGTCTATTGAAGGAACCCATATATATTCCGGTCTTCAATCGGAAGACAGGTTCCGATGGGGATCAGCGTTCACCGCCGATCGACCATTCGGGAAGATCCTTCGCTAAAGAGCTCCACCTGAGGGGTGAAAAACCTTGTTCGTTCGATGAAGATCCCAGGACTTTGCTCATTGGTCCAGGCCCATCCACCATACCCCTGTTTTTTTCGGACCGCGCCCAGGCTCCGCGTTGCCGCCCGAGATCTTTGCACCGATGATCTTCAACGCCCGGGGCAAGGCGACTGGTCGGCCGGCGACCGGTTGGGTCGCGTTCGACTCGGGTCCGGACCGGCTCGGACCTGTCGTGGGGGTTGGACTGGCCCCGAACGACGACGTGGCCGGTGCCCGGTCAAGCTGCCAGGCTCCTTTGCTCTTGCCAGATGGCTCAGACAACGGTCACTTGGTGCCATTGAGGCGGTTGGGGGTTGTCAGCTTTTGAGGACACTAGCGTCAGCCGCCACGAACGGTTGCGGGGCTGCTTGCTTCATGTTAGGCCAAAAGGGCGCCACTTGGACCAAGATTGACAGGTCACCGGTAAGCATCTGAAACGGGTGAAAAGAAGGACCCTCATACGGAGGGGTCTGGAGTCGAACCAAGGTTTTGAGGGACCGGGAACGGGCGGTTTTCACTCACTCACGGAGCGGTCCAAAGGTCAACGGTGGAAGCCAAACGCCCAATCCAAGGCCCATCCGAAGTCCAGTTTGACGATATGTTGACCGACTGAAGTAAAGGACATTCGGAACTTCGGGTCACCTAGACCATTCTTTTTATACCTGGACCCTCCGTTTTCGGGGTGTCCTGGCTGGACTACCCCACACTACCTATAGGCTTCCAGACAGGGCACCCCGACAGGAGGGTCCTGGTAGTCTTTGACTCCCAGGCCCATCATGCCAACGTCTCAGAAATCGCGGGTGTGGACCCACCCGTGGCGGTGCCCCATTCGTTTGACCTCCCTGGGCATTCGGAACCGCGCCGAACCGAACCGAACCGAACGTTCCGACGGGATGCCCCGTCGGCTATATAGGGAGTGTCAACAGAGAGAGGGCATCCCAGCCATGCCCGACTCTCGCGCGCGGATATGTCCGGATGGACCACCGTCTTTTTGACGGGATTTTCCAGGTCGCGTGACGTGCGGACGTGCAGTTGGTGGGTTTCAAGCCTGAGACAAGGACCTTAAGCCCCTTCCAGTCGAATTCTGTGGTGACCCCAAAAACTAGACCATCCAAGCCTGTTCTATCGCGTGTTCTATACATGGTTCTATCGCTGCCCCAATCGCCCTACATCACTTCCAGCTACATGTCTCAGCTGCTTTTTCTTCGTCCTTCGTCGTTCGTTTCGGACACCTGGCTGCCTTCGTTCACCCAAGGCGTTCCTCCTGAGAGCGCGGAAGAATTGCAGACCCCTGCGCCGTCACAGGAGCCCCGGGGGCGTGGCGACAACGATCGTCGTTCGCGGTGGTGGCCTGACGCGGCCTGAGTGAGGTTGAGGCCCTGGCTGGAGGCTTTCAGCAAGCCAAAAAGATAGCCAATGCTTTGGGTCTGTCCCTTCTTACCTGTAACAGCCTGCAATTATCGCTATTTGAGAGAGAATGCCTTTACAAAGCATCATCATCTACTGTTACTGGTAATACGGGCTCAATCAATGCATAGGGTTTTTGGAGACAGAACCTCCTCAAAGCAAGGAACATGTGACCTGCAATTCCTTTGTCCACAACCTTGCAGTGGTTTCTTCCTGTGGCTGAATTGGAGAATCCAGGAATCCCATGGAATCCACACCCAAGAACACATCCGAAAAGCACGCATTTGGAAGCTCCAACGCCACAGGACTTGATGCTGCGGGCCGCAGGCGAACTTCCAGAGAGCCACTGGGACTGCAGAGTTGTTCGAAGGGGTGGGACGTCAACAAAGGGATCTTTGGGGCTATGCAAAATATGGTTCGTGGTCGAAAACATATTGTTTGCTGTATTATATGCTAGCTATATATAAATGTTGTATGGGATATATAAGCTATGATTCTTGAAGGTATTCAATTTCATTAGCTACTTCAAGGAATTTCAAGCAAAAAAATCGCTGATTCCACCGAATTTGCTCAGTTGTGTGTGTGTGTGTGTGTCTTTTTCCCCACCTGTCATGTGAGGGGTCTTAGATTTTAGAAGAGGATCCTGCCATCTCCTCCTCGCCTCAACGACGTGGGCGCCCCCGGACCCTCACTCGAGCACGAACCAGACTTGATGCCAGAACACGTGTCAATCCGCATGTCCGCATGTCGACTCTAGTCAGACTAGTCTGTCAAAAGACGTGCCCTGCCTAGACGCCCCCAAATCAGAGTGTGGGGGGGGAGCATCACTCGAAGTGGAATAGTTATCCAGCAGAGGTTGAAGAAGCCTAACTAGACTATCCTATAGGTACCCCTGGTGACGGGTCCTAGTTCAGGTCACTGGCTACCTCTGTATGCTTCAATCGCCACCCTCCGCCGTCGATCCCAACGACCTTAGCCTCGCCTCCTCGCCTCGCTGAGGCAGCTGCGGGCTGACGGGTCACGTCTTCGAGGCGTCGGAGGAAGAGCTGCAGCAGCGCCACTGGGGCGAATCACCGGTGGGGACCGTGGGACGACTCCGCATAGCACCCGTTCGACCCTGGGCTTCCACCCACGCCCCAAGAAGTCACCTGGTCACCTGCTTCTTTGGAAGGAAATGGGTGGAAATGGATTGATTTGTCACGCGCGTCAGTTTCAGGACCTGCTTGTCATGCTCATGGGTTTTCGTCGCGGGTGAACTTGCCAAACTCCCCGAAAGCCCCTGAGCTGTAAAGTTTGATGATATTTGGGCAGGGTGTTCATGGACACCGACATGGCAAACCAGGCAGGGAAGGTGGAGATTAGACCAGCATAGACCCCAAACAACTTAGTCGGCAAGAATTGTTGTTGTGGTGGTGGGGCCGCGGCCCCAGCCCCTGCTTTGGACAGCAACGTAAATAGCTGGACAACAGAAAGACCAAAGGAGGACATGAGGAGGACAACAGAGGGCAAAAGGATGAGGGAAGGAAAACAATATGAACACACCAAGAGGACAAAAGAAGGCCAAGCTGTGACCGGACAACTCCAATAGGACAACAGGACAACATGAGGGGAGCACCCCAAGACGAGAACGGAGAACAAGAGGAGAAGAGAAAGAGAGGACAAGAGAAACACAACAAAGTGATGGGAGGAGTACGGCCGGAGAAATGCTGGCAGCCACACTTGAAATAGAAGAACATGAGGAGGACATCCAGACAGGGCTCGCCGGCGTGGCCTGACACTGTGGCCAGTGCAAGAAGGGGACAGCAGGAGGACAAGGAGACTTTCTGGAGTTGTCTTTCAAGAGGAGAGCAAGGGAAGGACAAGCTCCGGATCCAGCGTTCAGGGGCGCGGCCAGAGGAGGACCAGAGGACAAGACCCAAACACAGAGTTCAGGGACGCGGCCAGCCAGTGTGGCCAGCGCATTTCCTAACAGACAACCCCAACAGTAAACTACTTGGAGGAAAAAGAGTATGCCGGCAAGAGACCCCCAACAGTGTCGCCCTTGAGGTCTAGAGGTCCAAGGTCTAGAAGCAGAAGGTCTAGAGATCCAGAGGTCTTGGGATCCAGAGATATCAAGAGCTCTACTTTGCATGCTGCTATGCTCCGAATGCCAAGTCTTTGTGCCTTGCTGATGCTGATTTTGCGGATGAGCTTTCATGGCAACAGTTGGGCTGGTCAATCAAGGCATTTAGTCAGCAGACTGCGATCGCCAGAAGTTGAACCACGCAAATCTTCCGTCGATGCTTGGACGCGCTGGACTGAGGCAGGAGCGCCTTTGTTTGTTTGTCTCTCATTTTTCCTGAAAGAGGCCTTGCTAGAACCCAGAAGCCAACTTCGCAAGATTTTGCAGTGCTGCTACACCTGTCGCACCGGTAAACACTGCCGCACTACTGGCAGAACCAGTTCCAGCCGTGCCATTGAAGCCAAAGCCTGAAATTCCAGACGTTAAGATGGAACAGGCACCAGTCAAACCAATGTGCCGGAAATCTCCGCCTCCGCAGATCCAGAACTCACCACCAGTCAAGCCAGCGCCGCCGTCAATCAATACGGCATCTGCTCAGGCCAAAGAGGTTAACCAGGCACGGAGTGATTTCTCTGCTTCGATGCCACCCATCGCAGCACTTCGAATGTTGTTCTCACAAAGCGAGTTCCAGATTGAATGGCCAACTAATCACACAATCACGAGACACCTGCTTGGTTTTCATCGATGTGAAGGAAGCACACTCTTGGTCGCCAGCCAGGAGGCGATTACTCGTGGAACTTCCACCGTCCAGATGTTGTGTCCAAGTACTGGTACGGCGGGAACCTGTGCCAGTCCTCCTGACATCAAGGCATGCGTCCGTAGTTCGAACCAAAGGTTGTGGCGATGCGGAGATTGGCAATGTTGGCTGCACAGAGAGATTGGACTTGTGGCGTGACATCAAGGCACGCGTCCTTGGGTTCCAACTGCACTACCGTCTTCAGCATTTGGTTCAGTTTATCGCTCTGTTTCTCGAGCCTCAACTTCAAATGCTGCGTCTGCTGCATTGAATGGTCAAGCCTTCGGTTGTGCAGAAGCACGTGGAAGATCGAGACGCAACTGCAGTTGCTGAGGCAGTGAGAGGGCTTTATCACTGTTGGATTTGTCACAAACACTCAGGAGTAGCTGTTTGGCTTGCTGATTCAGTGTCTACATCGTGGGGTGGTGGAGGTGCTACTGATTACATATGGCCTTGCGGTGGGTACAAAGGTGAATCAAGTACTGGCATGCTGCATCGGACTCACAAACGCTTGAAGTACGGAATGATCGATGGCCTGGAATCTGATCACAAAAGACTGGAAGCGTTGCATTTGTTTTTTTCTCAGGTCCTGGCAACCAATGGTACTGCGTACGGATCTACAAAAACACCTCATTGGATCCGAACGCTTGGAAACCAGCTTGCAACACATGCGAAACTGAGAATGGTGCTTTCATCAACCGGAACGGAGATGTCAGAAAATGAAAAAGATTTGTTGGAGACTGACATTCAACCGTTGACGCTTGATCTTAATGCTCGTCTAGCGGCAATGTTCCCTGGAGCACCATTTGCACTATTGGATGCATTAGGAAATGTATCACCAAGTTTGTTCATTTCTGCAGACAAGAAGGTTTTGAGACAACTTGGGAAACCTGCAGACAGGGATGCCGAAGCAGCATGGGTCAGGTACAACAGAAAGATTGCGAAGATCACTTTCCAGCAAGTTGTCAACATATTTGATGTCTGTCTTGCCGTTGCAGAACAACCGACGAAAAAACGTTTAGAGCTTTACAGACACATCTGTGGATCATCCAGTGGTTCAGTACTGAAAGCGCTCAAAGAGAATTTTGACAAAGAAAGTAATCTCGCAAAGAAGGTACCACAAACACGTGGTCAGCCAGCAGAGTCGTCAACTTCTGCTAGCACCGGGTTAGGTCATGATCATGTCATTGAGCGAGAATTTGTTCGATGACGCTTGATAGCTCGCAACAAACTGACAAAGTATTCTTGTCGTTTAAAATGATAAGATGCTACGAGGAACGTGGTCAGTCTGTGTGTATTATTCTCTTTTGGCTCAAACCATTTTGGCTCAAGATGTGCAGTGACTTGAGAGTCAAACCACCAAGAACCTTCCATACAGACGTCTTTTTTCTTTTCGCTATTTGTCTTCAAACAACATAAAACGTTGAAAGTAACAACGTCCACTTCCATTGCCGCCACTCCAGTGTTGTAGCAGCTCGCCATGCATAGTGCCTTATGGGACGAACAGGGTGACATCAACAACAGGCGTTTAGGTTTCGAACCACCACTCTTTGTGTCTGAACACAACCGGCCTCTCCGGTGGAGCCTGAAACCACCTAAAAAACAGTGGCGCCATCGGCACATCTGGAGGCTGGCCAGAATAAAAAAAGCCGTGTCTAAATGGATCCCAAGCAGACCGGCTTGTACTAATACATTTCTCCCCTGGTTACTGGGGGGCCGGCCCCGCCCATACACACACCCCAAACACCCCAAAAAAAAAATATTCGAAAAAAGAAACCGAGTGGGAACGGGCACCCCGCTTCACGATTGAAACCCGGCTGTGGACTTTTGTATCTGCCTTGGACTTCCTTTCGTGTCGTGTGTTTGGCGTGTTTGTACCTGGTCCCTCTCATGGCGGGGCAGTCCCCCACAATCGATCTAACCTCGGCCACCCCCAGCCACGACGGCATCGAAGACATCACGCCGAGGGTTCCCACCAGCATGGCCGACACTTTTCCACAAACAGGAACCACAGCCGCAGCCAGTCCAGCACACACCACCTCACTTGCGCCAGGCCTGCCAACAAGCACCACCAGCTACGGCAGACGAAGAAGCATGCCCAATATGCCTGATGGCCATGTCCGACAACCTACTTCGAACTGAAACGGGCACACCTTCCCTGGCCAGGCTTCTTTTGGAAAACTGTGTTTCCTGCTTGGTCACAAAGCGTGCTACAGACAGTATGCCAGTCGGACCAGGTTGAATATTTGGAGGAGAAGGCATCGACGACCCTTCAGCAATGGACGGAAGGCACAATGTTCCGAACAGGCAGGGTCGTGTCGGGATACTTTTACAACATTTTAACACGTTGGAAACCATCAGCGTGAATTCCTTGCTAGCAATTCTGTGCATTTGTCTCTGAGTCTGGGCTACTGCGTCTGTTTTCTGGCTTACCTCCTAAGTAGCAATCCTACACATTTATTTGTCTCCCAGTGCTGCTATGTCCGCCTTCTGGCAACTCCTAGCACTTCCCAGCGTTCTCATTCCTTAGTAGCCATTCTGTCCGGCTTCTCAAAAGCTCCAGAGGCTGCCTAGAAACCTAGATTTGTCAAGGTTTAGAGATCTAGAGGTTTGGAGGCCCAGAGCACACACATGTAAGAGCACGCGTAGGACAGCACACACGGAGCACATATACAAGAGCACACACATGAGCTGCGGCTGCAACGAAATCTGCACCTCGAGGTTCACAAAAGCAATTCGCCTGCCACCAAATCTGCCCTTCCAGGTTCACGGAGCGCTGCGCCTGCCACGAATCTGCGCATCGAAGTTGAAAGTTTGTTGGGAACAATGATCTTGATGAGTTCTACCAAGTGGTTTTGAACAAGGTCGGTGCACCCCTTCGTGCTTTCGTTACAGGGGCCAGCGGTGACTCGATGGCCGCGACCACAGAGAAGAAGAGTGAAGAAGAACTGCGACCCACCAAGCTGGAGAAGAGCATGGAGACGGAGAAGGGTCCGCTGGAGCTCGAAGCTGCCCTGCACAGCAGCGATGAGGAGGAGTCTTGCAGCGGCGCAAGCAATCCTGCTGGCACGACCACGGTGTATGTCAGCACTGTGCCGGGCAGCGACTTTGATGACCCGGAGTTCGGCGACCTGTCTGTGGACGACGAGCAGTGGCTGGCGGCTTGCCCACAGAAGACGCGGCAGAAAATGTGCGAGAAGGCCGGCCGCAACAGCCGACGAGGCGGTCAACGGGTGCTTTAGCAAACGCTGGAGCACTGGGTGCCTCTCCTCACCTCCGAAAGCACCACTCGAAGTGATTTAAGGTCAGAGCTCCGGGACCAGAAGAGTTTAAGCAAAGATCTTAAAGATTAGCACTGCAGAAAACTAACTTGATGTATTTTTGCAGGGCTCCGAGTTTGCGCATTTCCCACCCTCCAAACAATATATATATATATGTGGGGTTTTTGTTCCCCACATTGAGGGTTTTGTTTTTAGTGCTGTATCCGCTCCTCCTCCTCCTCCTCCTCCTCCTCCTCGTCTCTTTCTCCCGGCACCAACCACCAACCACCAACCAGCAAGCAACCACCACCAACCACCACCAACCACCCACCCACCCACCCAACCAACCAACCAACCAGCCAACCAACCAACCAACCAACCAACCAACCACCACCAACTACCAACCACCAACTTACCAAGCACCAACCAACCACCACCAACCACCAACCACCAACCAACCACCACCAACCACCACCAACCACCAACCAACAACAACCAACCACCAACAACCAACCGCCAAACACCAACCACCACCAACCACCAACCACCAACCACCGACTACCACCGCTCTGCCGGTGCAGCACTTGGTGCTCTCCAAGAGGTCGGATGTACGCCCTGGCGTCCGTGGGTCGCCGCCGCTCTGCCGGTGTCATTTGCGTGGCAGCATTGGTCAAAGAAAAAAGTCCAACGTCGACTCGAAGCTGAGAATGCGAAATGCATGTATATGAATGTGTACTTTGGACTTCAGATCGCTCCATGTGGCTCTGAGAAAATGCGCTTGCAAGGTTCAGATTCGATTTCTTATGACATTTCTTTGTCTTTTCTCCGAAGTCTTTGCACGAGCAATGTCAATGCTTTCAGATGGTGACAAGAGATGTGCGTTCGCTGTTTTCTGGTTCCTCCGAGTGGACAAACTGCCAGTCAGAAGCCATGAAGCCCGATTGAAGTCACGATACGCCTAACTAACCAAAGAAAGATTTGCAATCCAACTGTAAAGAAGCAGCAGATGAACAACTTTTGAAGAGCACAGCTGTCGACTCAACCAGAGCACACGCAAACAAGCTTGTATGGAGTGGGGCTTTCTACCTTGCAGAGGATCTGGAGGTGTCCAACCCCCCTTGGACAAATCGAAAGGAAGCAAAACGAATGTTTCTCTTCTTTGCCTTGGAATTTCACTGGAGTTACGCATTTCTTCCAGAGTAGTCACTGTCATTTGAAAGGAATACAATGAAGCTGCCTATGGGTTGACAACGCACGTTTGGCCGCTTTGCATTGCCAGAATCAGACGTTTGACTATCGCGTCGGCAACAAAAAATATGAAATCCCAGCAAAGACGCAGATTACACTTTGACGATCGTTGCACCCTTTGTTGCAAAAGGGTGTCAGAGAATCAGAGAGCTTCTTTCCGAAGTCCAAGTGCACACGACGATTCAAAGGAATTATCAATGTGTTGGACTTCGTCAACTCGTAAGGTTGACAGCGCAAACTGCCTGAGGATATCGTGTTTGGGAACCCTCCCATACATGCACGTCTACACCTAGCCTCTTGATTTGTACTGATTTCACGTCCAAGGATGTAGAGATTCACCTTCAATGTTTGACTTTAAAGCTATGCACTAGATCAAACATTCCCTTCTACAACATGAGGATGTTTCTACTTTGCAAGGCGGTATGCGTTGGGAACGATGTACCGAACTATGTCTGGTGTGTGCAACCAGCTCTTTTGGAGGCAAAGAAAGACTCAACTCTCATTTTCTCAGAGTTGTTGTGTGCCAACAACATCTTCTCCAGAGCGCAGCACTTGGTGCTCTCCACGGGGTCGGATGTACGCCCTGGCGTCCGTGTGTCGCCGCCTCTCTGCCGGTGTGATTTTTCGTGGCAGGTGCAGCTCTTGGTGCTCTCCAAAGGGTCGGATGTACGCCCTGGCACCACCACCACCACCACCAACCACCAAACTCCAACCACCAACCAACCACCAACCACCAACCACCAGCCACCAACCAGCAAGCAACCACCGCCAACCACCACCAACCACCCACCACCCACCCACCCAACCAACCAACCAACCAACCAACAGCCAGCCAGCCAGCCAGCCAGCCACCAACCACCAGCCACAACCAAGCACCACCAACCACGAACCAACCACCCACACCAACCAACCACCACCAACCACCAACCACCAATTGTCCGCCCCAGTGTCTGGTGAAGTTGTTAACATGTGGTGTCGTCCGGTCCTATAATTGTTTGGTGTTATTTCTCCAGGAACCAAATCAAACCTCAGAAGAGGTTAAGCAAGGGTCTGAAAGAGCAGCACTAGCTGAACAATAGAAAGCCAAGTTGGGAAACAACCCGGAAAAATCCTTGCCAAATAGTTTTTTTACTTGTCCCTCCCACTCAACCAATTATAGGATTCGACATTGCCAAATGTTATGTTTCATGGGCCGATGCCAAGGATTGTTGATTCGAGTGGTCCGATTTGGTTGGTGAAGTGTTCTTTGTGAGCAAAAAGAGGGCCAAGGGAGCGGCCAATGTGTGAGGTAGGTGTATAGGTCACATTGGTCAATTGAAAGGCCCGATCTTTCCGGGCAGAGGGAAAATTGGCCCGGATTGGGCCTCCAAAATCTCGACGGTCCGCAAGTGTGCCTTGCTCTAGCGTTGCTTTCATCAGTGGGTGGTTGGGTGTACCATGGTGTACCCAATATTATCCAATGATGTTTGTTTGCAACTATGATTGACACGAAAGTGACAAGGTTGATACAGTTGTACAAGGGAACATGTAAGCCCAAATCAACCACCTGCCAGAGTTTGGGGGCACTGCTCTCTGCAAGGATATTGGGATACTGCTTTGAATTCAATCTTCAAGAGCCCGTGTCGTTCAGAAGGCTGCGATAATAACTACAAGACCCTACTAGACATAATCAATCATAATCATATCTCCTGCAGGGTGGTTCTGATGGTTTTTCCACGACAAACAACAGGAACAACCACCCTCCACAAGAACGTGATGGTCAGTTCCAGATGCCGCTCTTCGTTTTTATCACGTTTTGAAAACGCCCGACATCGACCGAGCCAAACCGAAGGTCTCACCACATCCCACCCCAACACATCGCGTGGTGTTCACGACCGGGAAAACCGCCGTGTTCCTTCGGTGCGCGAGCCCACCTCGTTCGAGGTGATCCCACAGAGACCTCGAGCTTGTTGGGTTTGCAGGGTTGCCCGGAAAGCGCTGTGCTCTCGACCTCGATGAAGCAAACGGATGTTGGTCAAACGTGTTGTGTTGGGCGAATTGGAAGGTGGAGTTCAGGCCGGAAAAAAGCCTGGTTCATGGAGGTCATCCCCAATGAGCCTCCCCAAATCGCCCAAGAAAAGGACCTGGTCGACTGCGTGGTCCTTATGGACACGCAGCGTCAAAGGTCCATCCCACCATCCAACACATGCGGTGTATGTCTTCGCCCATACGGAATGGGCGGCAAAGGCTTATGGTTGTTTCGATGCGAAGACGGAGCCGGCGCACATCCTGCCCTGTTTCTTGGCCCCCCCAAAAAAATAGGTGTGTTTCTTGGCGTATATGGCGTAGATCTTTAGCTGGTCCTAGAGATGTTCTCCTTCGCCCAAAAATAACGAATCACGCCGACAAAAAGAAATCACCATCTACGATGAAGGTGCTTGATTTGGTCAATGGGACTTATAGGGTGTTCTCTCCTATCAGTCCTTGTTCAGCCAAAATATGTGACGAAGATGCGTTCCTTGTCGTCCACCTCGCCATTAACTCCCATCCTGAAAAAGACTCCAGCCGAACCTTGAACACCAATCACAAATAGATACGTCAACCCGAACCCCTCCACCATCCATCAACCCTCAACCATCCTTCTGTCGGAAAGCGTGTGGTTGTCCGACCTTCAGGCCTTTGCACTACCAAGTCCACCCGGTGCTTTTGGCACAAGCCCCGATGCCCAGCGCCATGGAAGACGCCGAGGCGCCGAGGACGACCCGAGACGCCATGGCCGAACGCCCATCGGTTTGGCTCGGCAATGGGACGCGACCCGATCGCTCCGAACGTGGCGATGCCAGAAGTCCCTAGTAGCTTCTTCTTCCCAGTAGTAAGGCCAGGAGCCTAGTAGCGTCCGATCGCTCCGAACGAAGCGAGAAAACCCTTTGTTACCTTCGTAGCGTCCTGGTTCCGTTCGTAAGGCCAGGAGCACCCCGTTTCGTCGCGTTTCTGGTGCTTCGCGCGCGGGGCGAGGGGCGGGGGGTCCACCGACTTCGCGTGTGTGGACTCGGACTGAGGACTCTGGGAGAGGGGAAGACCAAAGCGGGCTTGGAAGAGGTGGTGGTTGTTGGTGGCCTTGACTTTGGGACTTTTGGTTGAAGTTCTTGTCGACTTTTTGGTTTCACCTATGTCACTGATGTCTTCCATCTTGATCCCATCACCGTTTGCAATGGCAAAGGGCTGAAATGGGGTGAACTGGACGGCGTCACACACCTACAGAACCTTCAGGCGTCGTTTTCTCGTTTCGACCGGAACTGGAAGGGCTCAAGAGTGGACTTAGATCGTTGATGAACAGTCCTGCCAATACGAGGAACCTTCGAGCCTCCAAGAAAACAATGGGGTGAACAAGTGGGACAGCGGGCCGGCGGTTCGCAGGTGCGGAAGTGGGTGAAGCAACGCTTCGGCAAGCACGTGCCCTGCCATCGCCTCGCCCTCCTCGTGGTCACCGCTCCGGAGCGACCCGAAGAGAGGTAAAACCACTGAGGGAATCTGGGAGAGAAGAAGTAGTTCACATGAAGTGGTTCTTGAAGGGAGCGTATCCGAGTCATGTGCTTTGAGAAGAAACTGCTGAGTCTCTAAGTCCTTGCTGTAGATTCAGATGGATTTAGAATTGGCTGATGGCATGATGATCGACTTATTGGTCCATTCTCTTCGCAATATCTTCTGGCATTGGGGATCCCTGAAAGACAACGACCCGGCTGCTGGAAAGTCATCAACCGAAGAGCACGAACGACCCGTTTTGTAACCTGCTGAACAGCACAGCAGTCGGGCGTTTTGACGCTCTGTTTGGAGAGACGATGACGTCATCGGATCCGGCGATGACGCTCGGACCGGACTCAAGTCTTGGGTGATCGGTTCTTAGCGTTGGGTTCGAGCGTCCGTGTCCCCAAACAAACTGAAAGAGACCAAAAGAAAGCTTCCCACAAGCTGGTGCGACGAAAGGAGGGAAAAAGGAGGTGAAGGTGAGGTGAATCGAGTTTCGTTGTTCAGCTCGATTCGGATCGAGCTTTCACTTTCACCCATGTCCTTCGTGGGGTATACCAGTCAGAAGAGTTCTTTCATTTTGGCTCGGGCCGTAGTGGATGTTCGCCCCATGTCTCACCTGCCTTTCGTCACAGGAGAGCGAGGCTGCTTGAGGGTGCGCAGGTAGATCTTTCGTGCGCCGGATGAGGGAGGCCACGACCGGAAGAAAGCCGGTGGGGTGGGTGTTTAGTGAAGCAAAAAAGAAAGGTCTTGATGTGTCTTCTTCGTGAAATCTTGAAGCTCACAATCAGGCCCCCAACAGAATGGAACACAAGATGTCGCACTAGAGCCACGAAAAGTTCAGAACCAAGTGGTGCGGGAGAGACGTGCCAATGCGGATTCATCCAGACAATTGGAGGCTTTTTCGTTCTGTTCAAAGCTTCGAAGCACCGAACACGCAGATGTTCGTTGCCCTCCACGAAGGACCAAAGAGCGTGGAGCTGCGGGTTCAGCTCCGGCGCGCCGTCCTGCGTGGGTTTCACCGGCTGGTTGTCTTGAAGTGCGAGCACCGGCGAAAAAGGGGAGAGGAGTCGGTGGAGGGTGGGTCCTCTCTGGATAGATCGGTGGCGGACCCAGGATTCCGACCCAGAGATTTGTCAGATCTCCTCGTCCTTTTTCTGTTGAACAAAGGAATAGGGACACTGCATTGCTTGATCCATAGCGCCCAAACGATGTCACGCCGCGTGGGGGCCATCTTCCAACGGATGCGTTGGGAGTGCTCCCGGAACCTCCCGGAACCTGGGGTGAAACTCACCCCATGCTGAACGATGAGCCACTGAACGCTTCGAGCTGGACAGATCTTCGACGTCGGACGAAAGTCTGATGTTGAAAGGTTCACTGTAAGATTGGACCCAAAATCGCTGGACCAAAATCCGCGATGTTGGAAGGATATCAGTTCCCCGTTCCCCTTCATGAGGAAGCCTTTGCTGAAACACCAACCCACCCAAGGTGCCGCCGCGGAATTGAAGTGGCTCCAGCTCCAAGAAGTGTCTTTAAAACCAGGGCTCCAAAAAATGGGGCAGACTGGCCTGGCTGCGACGAAATTGGAGGGTGAACGAAGAAAACATGCTCAGAGACTGAAAAATAGATCTCCAACGGCTGGACTGGACCTGAGTCCACTCGTCGTTGAGTCCTTATGACTGGACTCAACGACGAGATCCCTCCTGCGACACCAGATCTGCACGAAGATGCTGGACACGAACAAAAACTTCGGACCACGAAAGGAACGACCCCGGGTCCACAGAGGAGAACTTCGGGTCCCTCACAGTTCGCGTATACGTCGATGCCGGAAGCGTCGATTCGAACATGGATAGCAACTGGATGTTCCTCGGTGGCCTTCGGGTCTTTGGGCAAATCACCCTTCGCACATCCAGTGAAGCTGAGTCGGGTCTCAGGGGGGTTGGTGTTCTCACTTCCCGCTTGGTGTTCTCGCTCTCCCGGGAAAGGATGGACCCTGAGGGGGACGACATGTCGATCAGGACGGACGTGTCGATCGGAGGGGCGATCAGCGGAGCCGACGAGGGGGGATCTGGTTGGAGATTTCTGCGTGGAGCTCTGTGTGTGATCAACGTCCCCTCCATGGAAGAATCATGGTGGATGTGGTGTTCACTCCACATAACCATGATGAAATCAGGGAGTGTCTCTCGAAGGAATCTACGTACCCATGCAAGAAGATTGCTGGAGCATCGTGATGCAATGCCCTGGTGGGCAGTGTTTTCCTTGGGCGCAGTCGGCTTGCAGTGGTCTGTAGGGCGGGGCGCAATCGGCCGCAGGGAATTGTATTGGGAACCCAAGAGATGTATTGGGCTGCCGTTCCCGGCCCTTCCCCTCACCATTTCACCTGGGTCTTGGGATTCTGTAAAATAAGACCAGAAAAGAGGACCCCAAAGCGAACTTCTGGGCATGTTCACAACTGTTCGAAGACCATTATACCCACCTTCTTCCGAGCGCGAGAACGGTGAAGTCTTGGCCATTCGGGGTCTTTCAGGATGGAGCGCGACGACGGCCGCACCGCACCACGGGGCAGCGACAAGTGGCTCAGACGACCAAAGCCTGTTGTTTGGGAAACTGTTTACATGCACCGTGAAGACTTGTCGCAAGGATCCGGAAATCATGGCGGGAGGGTTCCAGGAATCAAAATGAATTAAATATCAATCGAAAGCTTATGATGGTTTCCTGCGCATCACATCCATAATCGTTCTTTCCTCTAGCATGGTGCGTTCAAAAGCACAGGGTTGCAACATAGCAGTTCTCTCTAAATCTACACCCTTTTCACGGCACACCACGTCCGCTGATCATGACATCAGACGGAATCTGGCCAAAACAACACCATCCATCACACCATTTGTTCAAACTGAACCAGATGCCAATGTCTTTTCACCGCCACCCTCTTCTTAAAGCACTGGCACGTCTATCTCGCTCCCGGTGGCATGGCTGCACGGGAGCGTTCCAGCACGGCGGTGGAAGAGCTACCCAGGCGACGTCTCCCTGCTCACCGTCCCGGACTCGTTCGGTCTGTGGATCCCGAAATCGGGCGGAAAGACTTACCTGGCTTTGGTGACAGAGGTACGATCAGATACCATCACGAGGTTTCAGAAAGGGACAGAGAGAAAGATGAAACAAGAGATGTCCACAGTTTCAGTGACCCTTGTTGGATTGCCAGCATCTTTTTCGATCCAGGCACAAGCGGAAGCCCATCGTCGTGCCTTGGCGCCGTGAAGAACCGTCGGTGACATGGAACGACACGCGCTTCGCCAGGTGTGAAAACGTGAACGGCGGTTCCTTTTACCAAAACATCTTCTTTTATCTAGCTGTTGCTCAGGAGGGAGCGATGAAGGTATCCATGTTTTACATGAAATTCCGGAAGCCAAGGAGCTACAGGGAGTTCCCCAACCCCGACAGAGAGTTTGACACTCTCAAAGAGGAGGGTAGTTGTGCCAAATCTTCCTACACCAGTCGATGGTTGTTTGTATTTCCCTGCAGTCGTGAGGACCACCACCAAGAGAGTTTCAAGAAAGGATCCGTCGCTAAGCGTTCGAGAGTTCACTCGTTCGCTGTTGAAATCAACCGGCTGCCCAGCGGGAGAATGGCGGAAGGACCGACCGAGCGGAGGAAAATGGATGTTCGAACGTGCCGTTGTTCACCAAAGCCACAGAGATTTTCAGGGGCCGTGTCTACTAGGAAAATGGGACTTCAATGGGCTTTTTAACCCTAAACGCAACAGGTTCTGAGACCAACAGCTTCAAGAACCTGCACGACCCACCTGTTGCGAAGTCAGTGCAGCCATTGGAGAGGTCGTTGAAGAACCCTGAAGGCCGAACCGAGGGGGAGTGAACGGAATGACAGCGAAAAAAATCAATTGGTTTCTAGGTGAAAGAATTTCCCTTCGTTTCTTCGTGTCCCTTCTTGTGAAGTCAGGGCCCCAACGGTGTAGAACCACGATAGGTCCAGTTGCATCTGTTCTGCACGCACACGCATGCACACGCGCCTGTTGAGGAACGCTTTCGGCAGTCCTCGCGGACGTTGCACTGCATGGACGCCAAGACTGACCTGACCTTGATGTATGACACCCTGGAGCAGCTCGGCAACTTACTGGCTTCATTGAGGAGGGGGTATTGACATGTTTCTGCTGCAAGAACAGAACAACAACCCCCTGTAAGATCACCCATTTACTTTTTGCCCTTTGCGAAACAAAAGGGCCGCCTGGCAGCAGGTGAGCCTTTCTTTTCACCAAAAGTACTCAGTTGCAATGTTGCCCTTTGGGGGGAACAACTATATAACACTATGTAGCAATATTGGAATATATTGGATACCTATACATATTATATATATACATATCATATATATCAGGATGTCTTCAGTTGCACCCACTTGCTTTGCTGAAGTCTCCCACTTTGGTGTGAGTGATCTTGTTACCTCCGAGCGCCATCCATGTCGAGCGGACGTTACGATGGACCATCGCAGTGGTGAAGGCATTCGTTGGACGAGTAGAAGAACCTGGAGTGACCTCTATCTTGGAACCACCAAGCACCCCAAGAATAGGGTCCAACTTCCTGTCAAAACAGAGGGCAAAGGGGGGTCATGTCTGGGGTTGCGCGGTTCGAGGAGCAGCATGTGTTCGTTTTGGGGGATGGGATCGGAGGCCCAAAAAAGAGCACCCGGGTGGGTCTTTGGCACGCATACCGCCTACTCCGTGTGCGAGCGAGAGGGGAGGTAAGGCCATCAAAGCAAAAAAGGAAGGTTTGGAATCCTCACTTGCCAAGGGACTCCCCAAAAAGCATCAAGAAGAATGATCGTTTCAACTTGTTCATTCACTCAGACCAAATTTTGAGGTGGCTAAATGTGTTTCGTTCGGTTTCGTTTGGTTTCTTTGGATCCTCCCAAAAATGGAAGAAGAGAAGACTCCTCTGTGTCATCTACTCCCACTTTGACTCGAATTGCCAGGTGGGATGAAGCCTTTGTGTGCCTTGGTTGGAACAGATTGGGATCGGGCCCTAATTCTTGCTGCGCGACGACATCGCCCCTAAAGTATTCTACAAAGTACTTTCCCCCAGGTGAGATGAATCCTGCGCTTTTGTTCGAAAAAGGATTCTAAGCCTTTGCTTCTGGGCCTAAAAGGTTTCAAAGTTGAGATCGTAACTCGGACGAGATTGTCCACAAAACCCTTAGAACCTTTAAAAGGATAAAGATGGAAAACGACTTAAAACATCTTGCCAGACGCGACCCTGGACCCTCATATGGAAGGGTGTGCTTACCTCTGTGAGGTCTTCCAGTCGTCGGTATGAGCATCGTCAACGGAGCGTCCATGTGCGACGCATGGGCGACCCGAGGAAGGACGGGCTTCCCAACATGCCGTTGAGGGCGGAGACCTCGAAAGAAATCGCCCCTTGGACGGAGGTCGCCAAATGGTCTTGGGAGTCTTTTGGTCGGGTTGGGAGAGGTCGACACTTATATGAAGGAAAGATGTGGAGCCAAATGGCTATCTGAACCGGCTGCTGGTCTCGAGGTGTTCTGAATTCCAATGACATTCGAATGTGATGTGATAATGTGAGCGAAAAGGTGTGGCAAGAGGACGATCAAAGTCCAACACATTCAAATTCCCAGGGTCAATGCTGTTGTTTGGCAAAATTGAGAACTTAGCTGAATCGATTTGGCAAAACTTCGGAGCTCTGAGGATGTTCACGTCTTTTCTTTCTGAATAAAGCCTGCAATCAGGGGACAAACCCATCGTGCATGTTCTCCAACCCACACAAAACCCGTTCACTGGGTCAATTGTTGTGTAGATTTGTGTTTCTCTTTCTTCTACTTTTCCACTTGTGTGGCCAAAGTTCCAAGTTCGTTTGTTCGATCTGCTTTGTCCTGTCTCACCTGTCACCAAGCAACAGCACCTGTCACCTGTCACGGCGTCCGCCAAGGCTCAGCTGGAACAACGACTGGAGCGCTTAGAGAGCGATCCACCGGTGGAGGCGGTGCAAAAAACAAAACGTGTCGAACTGTGTGAAACGTGACCATGAAAACCCATGGATGAAAAGGCGCCCAAAAGGGACATGATTTGAGTTTGTTTGGCCTGGTGTGTGCCTGGGGGTTGTTTGATATTGTGAAATAACAACAGTTAAGATGTTCACAAAAGAACAAAGTAGTGCCCAGTGTTCTGTAAATGTTCCGAAGGGTATGGAGGTCTGTCCACTGCCTGCGTTCCAGCAGCTGGGAGTGTCCAACGGCGCACCCCAACCGAGCCGAACGGCCCGAGCGACCACCTTCCCCCGACCGGGAGTGTTGGTGGGTGGGTGGGAAAGCTTCCATGACACCACGGAACGACTCCCAAAATTGAAAGCCCAATGGCAATATCTTCTCCAACAAAATGCGAGTCCCCCCCCAAAAAAATGAATACGATCCGTGTCTCCCTGTTTGGTCGTGGTCCGCGTGGCGTCCGGCCAGAACGAGCGTGGCCGCACGAGCACCTCGACGGGCTCGACGAAGTTGCGCAGTGGATCCCGGGTCCCGACGGGACGGACGGGGCGGTCGAGACCGGGCGTTCGTCCACCGGTGGTAGTTCCTTTCGGACGCACCGAGTGCACACCAGAGGTAGAGGACGACGGAGAGAAGGGAGAAGTCGCGCCGATTTCACGAGATTTCACGGATTTCGGGGGGAGTTCCTTAGATCTTGACCGTCTTGACCGTCAGTCGACTTCGTGATGTTGGAAGATGTTGGAAGGAAATCAAAATGTTTCGGAGGTTGCAACTCCATTGGAGGCTATAATCTTATATACATGTTTGTGAGAAAAGCCAGGTTGTTGAGCAGATGGGTTGGCTGGATTGTGATTGTAGGAGGCTTGGTATTCTGTTTGCGGTACCGGTTACTGAGAGGCCCATGTCACTCACCACATGGGAGATTCCTTCGGGGAGGGCGTTCACACACCGACGGTTGGCAGAAACGGAAGCTGTTTCTGCATGTGGCTCCGGGGGTCCACAGGAATCCTCCACGCATCCTTTAAGAAGGAGTGGAATTGGAGCTAACTCGGTGAAGCAGATGGGCGAACTTCCGTGGCGGATCGATCCCTGACGAAGCGGTCGCTGGGAATCAAAGCCTGGAGATGCCAAAACGGATTCGCTGGCTGATCGGGAACATCTGCCAAGGTTGAGAGTCCTAGAAGGAGATGCTGAATGTGAGATCTTCCCTGCCAATCTGACGCCCCCCTCCGGCGTTTTGGTCCGCGAGCGCTGAACGAAGACCGCCGTCCGGCCTCTGTGTGGCGCCAGGTCACGCTGGAGGGACTCTTCGACAACTGCGACTGGGACGACCCCCAAAGCTATGAGGACAAAGCTGGGACGACTAGCCTATGAGTTGGGTTTGTCCTATTATATAACTGTAACAGTCAGTAAACAATTATATCGCGATTTTAGAGAAAGGCCTTTACTCAAAAATTATCATCATCATCATCATCATCATCATCATCATCATCATCATCCGTTGTTACCGGTAGCCATTTTGGCTCTAGCAAGTTCGTCTGATCAAGTCTTCAGGTCTCCTTTTTCCAATGGCTTCAGCATCACCTGTCTGTTGTCAAGAAGGAGGTCTTTGATCCTGGGGAATTGGCGGATTTCTCAGAAGAGATGATCCGACTATATAACGCACAGCGCCTCATCCCTGAAGTGAGAAAGATGAGAGGTGATTACGTCGAATAAGTGGAGATCCTTTCTTGCAAGCTACCCACAGGGGAAGACGTCAATACGAAAAAACTGCTCACAGTAGTAGAAGACGCTCTCGCTTTCCTGGTGATACTGGGACTGATCATCCCAGCGCACCTGCCTGAAACACAATGACACCACTGGTCGTCCCTGCTGCTGTCTTTTTGGTTCCATGGTGTTTCTTCACGCTACTTCCCACAAACCAATTTTTTTGCCGCGCTTGCAGCTCCGCCACAGCCTGTTCTGCAGATAAGTGAACAGATTGTTCAGCAATTCAGTTGCGCTGACCGCTTCACCGTTCGTTTCCCTCATCCATTTTACTGTGGATTATGACCAACTGCAAACCCTGTGACTAAGTGTGTCAACTCCTGTCTCCAAGGAGCACCACCACAGTATCTAAGACACTTTTCCAATTCGGTTCACCTTTTCAATTTAAAGACTGTACAGATAAGCAGGTGGCACCTGAAGCAGAGATAGGGCAGGTGCCAAGGAAGACACCGATCTCTCGCTTGTGATATAACTCCGGGACATTGGAGCCCCGTACCTGCATTACCGACTTTTAATTTCCCTTCTTGTTGACTGACCTGTTGACCAAGCTGTTACCCTCCTCTTCTCGTAAAGTGCTAGTGCGCCTTTTTAAACAGTACTGTTGACGCGGGCTCATTCACCTTTCTGTTCCCTCAGCCAAGGTCAAATTGCGTGTAAAGGTCTAGTTGCAGTAACACTGGAGTTCACCAACTGCTATAGCTCTTGCGAGCAAGGATCTAAGTGTGTAGATTTTTCGGGGGGTGGGAAGGGGTGAAGCTCAGTGATCTATCACTTCATGGGAGCGTATGGGTGAATGCATATCCTTGTAACGGGCCATTAGAAGTTTTTTGTTGTTTGCTGTTAAGTACAATCTTGGAGATCACATCGGATGTCTTCAGTTTGTTTGATTCACGCCCATTCATCCAAAAGAAGGGACGAACATAATAGCGTGGTCGGCGCTGTCGTTCCAGCGCTGTCCTTCCACGCGCAAATGCATGGAATGTAGTTTCAATTTATTTGCTACTTTGGCCTGCGAAATGTGTTTGCAGAAAAACTTGCTTTGCACTTCGTGCCTGCCAGGAGCCGAACGAGAAGAAGCCACCACAGGACTCAGTCCGGCTTCGACAACTTGTGTTTTGGCTCATGCCAAGCAAGGGTGGATTTGCTACAACCTGACTCGAAGCATGATCCTACTTCGGAGTATGCCTTGGTTCCTTGGGTCTTTTGCCCTTCCAAGCAGTTGGCAAAGACGCGTTGACGTGGAACCAGATGATGTGTTTGCACTTCACAAATTCGATTGGGGCAGGTCCCATTCCTGTCGTACTCATCGCCTCCAATTCCACGTGAAACGGGTAGGTCACGTGACCGAGGGGTCTGTCACCGGGTTGGTGAGGACCTGTTGGGTCCGGGACATGTTCGGTGTCAGGGATGTTCCAAAGTGACAAGGCAGACCAGTGCAGTGACAAGGTGTCCCTTCTTTGGTTAGAACTCTCCCAAAATGGTCAAGCAGGAGGATTGATCCACAGGCCAAAACTGAAGGGTGTTTGTTGAATTGCTCTCAACAGCTCAAAGGATGTCGAAGAAAAACCGCGAAGAACAGCTTGACCGATCTTGACTTGGCTTTGCAGTCAGAGAGGGTCAAGAAAACCTGAGAGTTCCAAAAACCACGGATCACTCATAGAGTTTTCTTCCATAGAAACATCTGCAAATTCACACACGCTCCGTGTTCTCGATGCCTGTCCTTTTTCCAAGGCCAAGATGGTCAAAAAGAGGGGGAATCCAAAAGGATCAAACCAAAAAACTCTCTCTTTGAGGCTCTTTCCCCCTCATCGAACTCAGAGAACTGAACTCACGACAGGAGACGGGCACAGAGCCGCTGCGGCGAAGGGCTTCGATGTCGCGTGGACGAGGAAAACGAGATGGAGATGGGGCGAAAAGACCATCCCAGATCATCCCGCAGCTCTTATAAATCGTCTACATGAAGCGGAGGTTGAAGAACCCTATAGACTATCCTATAGGAATTAGCAGGTTTCAAGCTGAGAGATGGAGCTGGTGGAGGAAGAGCGTTTGACCCTCTGCTGGGTTCCAGGTGAGAATTTCTAACAACGTCGTGTCTACTGCGGGGCGCTTGATTTGTTCGACTGTTGGACCGCCTAAAGAAGGTGGTGAAGACTGACGCGCCCAAAAGCCTAGAGCTCCTTATGAGTTGCTTGGTCATGTTGCGGCAGCCCCACAGATGGCATGTTCACTGCGACATGTTCACCAAATCAGCAAGCGGCCTGGCTGGACGGTTAGCTTTCACTCTTTTCGACCCGGTCCGGTCTACCAAAGGCGCCAGAGTCAACATCCTTCGGTGATCTCAGCGGATCGGCTGGAGGTGGATATGGCTGTGGGTCATGTCAACCGGGGTTCAGAACCAGGTGCTGGACCGACGACCACGTCGGAGGGGTTGAGATCTACCTGGAGGGGAGATCTAATACCTGAGATCAGAACCCCGAGACCCATCCCCCAAAGCCTTTCGTCCTTATCGGAAGGTTCCTGTCAAACACCGCGCGGTTCGGAGGTTCCTGGGATTCCAAGGCCAGCACACGCACAAGCCGGTCCGCCTGTTGGAGGCGGGGATGAGAGAACAGAACAGCCTGAGGATGCAGGGAACACCCCATGGTAAAGTGCCAGTGTGTTCTTTCCCCCATGTAGGCCCTAAGGCTCATGTTTCATAGGCCCTCCAATGTTGTTAAAGGCAGCCTTTCAAAAGCACTGAACCAAACAGTCGTCTTGGGACTTTGGATGCTCAACCCTCCAAGCCTCCAAAAACGGGCCCGCGAGCCGTGATGTGGGCTAGGTGCTTTTAGGGCGTCGCCCTGTCCTCTTGGTAACCAGGTACACTGTCCCACGGGTGGACAAGGGCACGATGAAGTGTAAGCAAAAGCACCGCAAAAGCCCAATGCAAGGGTGCATTTTTCCTATGCAAACGTGAAAGCTATGCCGTACTTGCCCCAAGACCTGGCAGAGGTGACTCATTTTCCAGGCAACAACTGATGTCTCTCTGTGTTCTTCTTGTCGTCCCGCTCGCCATGCGCGTCAGGGGCAAAGCCACGAGGCTCACTGGGCGTGACGTGGGGAGGCCCAGCAAATGCTCGTTCGCGAGTCGCGGCGTTGGTGAGGAAGTAGCTACTAGCTTCTTGTTACTACTAGTAAGGCACTTGTTACTAGTAGCGATGCACTTGTTACTACTAGCTTCCCGTAAGAATGCTACTACTGGTGCGGCCAGGAGCCCCGAACGTAGCGTCCTTGCTCCTAGTAGTAAGGCCAGGAGCCCCAGCCGTAGCTTCTAGCTACTAGTATGTCTAATGTTTTCGTTTCAGTCCGTTGCCTCAAGTTGTTTTGGCTGCTTATGTTGCTTCGTCGACTCGTTTACGAACTGGCCGAATCCACTGTCGACTCCAACGAACTGGTCACACCATTTGGTCACGGCGTTCCCTGGCCCTTTTTGTTCGGTCGAATGCATGGAATGAGTCGCTCCCGACGAGCTTGTTAGCAAGCAAAACGCAACGAGAGCGGCCAAAAAGGGCGAGGGATCTGAGGTACCCAGAAAACATGTGAATGGTGTGCGGCTTGTTGGGGGTACATGTAGACTCTTGATGAATAAACCACCCCATAGGAAGAGGATGTCCAAGTCAAATGGGGTGGGTTTATTAATCAAGAGTGTGCATTACATGGGTTTGTTCTTTTCTTGACCAGGTGGGTGGACAGGATCAGATGAATCAGATCCTAGGTTGATAGTTAATAGTTGTGCTGGTTTTTGCACAGGGGGACATTTTCCACAATTTCTCTCAGCTCAAGCTGCCAACAACTCGGACGTTTGTTTTGCCTGACAAGACCTAGGAGCAGTGCACAGCCCCGGCAGCCGGCGCCCATGCCGCCGGCGCAGACGCGGCTCAGCTCCACCGCCGCGGCGGAGACGCCGCCCCAGCCGCAGGCTCGCTGGAACAATCGCTACTAGGAACAAGGATGCAACTAGGGGCTCCTGGCCTTTCTCCTAGGAACAAGAAGCTACTAGTAACAAAGGGCATCGAGGGAAGGTCCTTGTAAATAAATGGGAGGAAACGAGACGAACTGGTGAAAAAAATGGCACTGAGAACAGCATTCTGCAAAAGTTGGTTCTCAGCGCAATCCCATTCATCGCTGCTTAGGCAGTGAGGCCGAACCTGAGTGGGAGCGTCATTTCAGGTCGGATACTGCCACCCAATGCCATTGCGAGACCCTATGTGGATTCGGGACATGTTTGTGGGACTTATCTTTCTGGATGTCGCTTCACCATCCCGCATGTTTGTGGAGATTGATGTAGGGAATCGAGATAGGCCGAAAGCAAAAGACCCCATCCTTCCCCACACCCCTGTGGTTCTCCCGACATGAACGCGAAAACAGGTGGCTGACGGGGGCCCCGTCCTGTCCTATGTCCCTACGCTGCCGCCCACCTTGCAAGAGCCCAGGCCACGAGAAGAAGCGCCACCGGGGCGGGAAATGATGCAACCAGGAGTCACAAAGGAGTGGCTTTTTAGTCCCATCCAGTGAGTGGATGCGACAGGGGAACTCCTATATCCTCCAAGTTCGGCACCCTATTGTGACTCTTGGTTGTTTTTTTTGTTTCCCGAATGCGTAGCAAAGGGTTCTCGCTTATCTCTGAGGGTCTGGAGGTAGAGCTGCGTAGAGCATTCGGGTTCATGGGCTCCTTCGTGTTTCTTTTGGAGGCCCTCAGATAGAGAGGTTGCTTTGAGGAAGAGATGATTTCTATTGAGGGGATCAGGAGGCAGTTGACATGTGCAACACAGGTGTGTATTTTTGTTCACTGGACATTTGAGACAAGATGTTGTCAGCAGTCCACAAGGAGATGCGAGTCGATAGCAGCTTATCCGTTAGCAGTTAGTGCGTCACCATTTCACCCTGAATCCCACAAAACATCCGTTGCCTGTTTGGAGCCCTTTGATGAGGCACGTGCCACAGGAAGTGTTCTTTCGGAAATTTGGGTATAGTGCTCTTTGCAAACGCTTTACAAGTACTACGGCTTCTGCCAATGGTGAGCTGAGATTTCTGGACAGACATGTGGCGACAGGCTTGACACCTTCACACCGTCGGCAGAGACTTCGGAGGGTGGATGAATCGAGTTCTGCATGGGATCTCTGCGTGCCTTTTTAGCCAGAAAAGGTGTGTGCAGTTCGCTGAGTCCACTCAGCCACACGTGAACATCCGGAGGAGGAGGTCATGATGGACCGGGACTGGGCTTCGACGACGCGGGACGAAAACGGCCAGAAATCCTCGATCTGTAACATGTCGGAAACATCGAATGATGAGTTCGGGGAGTTGGTTAAAGAGTTTGGGGGATGTTCTATACGTCTTTTTCCGCCTCCGTGCTTTTCGTCGGAACTTCAAAGGTCAAAGATGAAAAACGAGCCGACATACGGCAGTTGTCCAAACTGCCAATTGGTCCCGAGGAAGGGACAACGGCAGTGCCCAGGTGAAACTTGTTGGACCAAGACTTGATGATCAAAGCAGTCGATGGGACCGGCATTCACAGATCAGTGTATCAGCAAAGACGGGACTGGAAATGGATAAAATTCCAGTTCTCATCCACTTTCTACAAGATGAAGCTGATGAAGCTTCTATAGTGCTCGTTCCAAGAAAGCAGCACGTACCGAGTTGGCTTCTTGATGCGATTTCTTGCTAGACGAAGTGCTCTAGCGCAGCTGTTTGATCTCTTATACTTGCAAGCAACGGCCATCGCAGTTTGCAAAGGAGCACACCTGATACACCCGTCTGCAGTCAAACTGTATTTTGGTCAGAGAGTGCCCATGCTGTTCTGACATCAATGTTTCTGGTGCTGTGAAGTGGAGACCCAGCATGGGGAAAGCATCATCCCGGCCTGTTGGAAGCCTGAGATTTTCCAGAAGCCTGTTGGAGGTGAACTTGTCCAAGGCACCATGTCAGCACTCATCAAGTGTCGAAGCACGACCGCATCGCAGATCTTACGAACTGTGCAGCTGGGTGAAGCTGTGAAGCTGTCGACTCTCGATAAGCTCAAAGGAAGCACGGGCTCCACGGGCGAAAATCCAAAGCCTTTGCAGCAAAGAACGACGAGTGACCATCGGATGTTTCACCTTGGAAACCTCCTCCATGCTTCGAGAGAAGCGTTCTTGAAACATCGCTGGTTGCTGACGTCGGTGAAACTCCTTTTGTTGTCAGAAAGCACTTGCTTGTGGGTTTCACATGTCTTATTTGATGACCATGATTAACAGGGGGTGGGCAGGAAGGGGGTGGGTAGTGTGCAACACGATCTCGAGAGTGGTCAGAGTTGTGCGAAGCAGTGAAGTGCAGGTTCCGAATGCAAGCAAGCAGACTGTTTGCCTTGAGCACATGGCGACACAGTACGGCAACAACAACACGAGATATTTTGACAGTGTTGATTTGCCTTTAATGGGAAGAAGCCACTGTTGGACTGGTATTCAACAAGACACACTGCCGCCCGATTTAGCCACACTACAACTTGCTGGCCGGTCAATGAATAAGAATAATCATGTTGAAACAACTGAGTAGTGTGGACGAAGCCTTGGCCATGCTGAAAAGCAGGGTCGTAAGATGTCTACAATGAGGACGACAGTATCTTCTGACGAACTGCACAGCGGGGTTGTTCATTCGCGTGTCGCTGTGTCCAATTCGTATCTGGTGAAGACCTGAGGTCTTGGGACATGGAAAAACCATGATGTTTCCCGTCGCAAAAAGTGGATGTCAATGAAGTATGCCCATAACCAGGGGGCAAGAACCCATGAACAGAACGTGGGCTTTCCCGGAACGAGCAACTTCTCTACTCTGAGTCCAGCTCAATGCGTCACTCAGCAGCCATTTCCACAAGAAATCATGGTTTCCTTGTGTGCTTGTTTTTCACTGCCTCTCCACCATGATGCAGTCACCTCTTCGCTTCCGCCCTGCCTCTCCGCGCCGTTCGTCCAGCGGTGTGCGTGGCAGGCCATCGGAGCCGCCGGAGCAGCCTGGCAGCAGCGGGGGGAACAGCCTACCTTCGCCTAGCGGCCTAGCCTTCACCGCTTGAAAGCCTTTTGCTTGGAATGTCACCAGGTTGACCCGTTGACACGATTTGGGTCCACCATTGGTGAAGGGTAGTTAGGTAAAAGATGAATCAACAGTGGTAGGCCTGGTTTTGCTTTGGGTGATTTTGACTTTCCCTATGGGTAAATCCCTGTCTCTGAAAAGGTCTGGAGTGAGTTCGGCACAAAAACACCTTGAGATAAAAAACAAGTGGCCAACTACAACAGAGACTTTGTCCCGGCCAGCATGTGAGTGCCACACATGAAAAAAGTTGTTGACCAAAAAGAGACATGGAAAATCGTAGCTGGGCCATGTACCAACCACCGACAAAAGGAAACTAAATCAGACCAAGAAGGGACAGGAAGGAGAAGGAAGGACAAGGAAAAGACACAAGCAAGGGGGAAGAAAGAAAAGGAAGAGGAAAGGGCCAGGAAAGAAAGAAAGAAAGAAAGAAAAAAGGACGAAAGAAAGAACCAAGAGGAAAAAGAAAAGACGTAAAAAAGGGAACAGCTAGACGACGAATGGCCCGGGAGCGTGGAAACACGAGCGCGCCATCATAGGAAGGTATGTGAAGAACCCCATTGAAAGACTTCCTATGATATACAGTGAATGGCATAGGGGTATCTGGCGCTCAGAGGAAATTAGTGGATGTTATTTGGCCACACGGTGGGTGTGCCACAGAGTAGATACAATGTGACACCAAGCATCGTGCGCGCCGCCACTCATCCCGCTCCCCAGCGACACGCAGAATTTACACCAGCATGGTTTCCTTCCCCCAGTGGCACGGACTCACGCAAGCGCGCTTCTTCCAGCACTACAGTTATACTCCCCAAGTGGCCGTGTCTACGACAGTTACACGCTTTGGCAACCTCCACCTTCGTTTTCGGCGACAGTTCCACGTGGATGGAGCTAGTCATGATTGAGGGATGGATAGGGATGGGATGTGATAGATTGCCATGGGCTCTGATTTGGGTAGAGATTCTGTTTGAAGCAGATTCCATGCCCTGGTGCACGCGCATGCGGGCACGTACGGAATGGAGAAGAGGCATCGACAAGATTGTGGAAGCGGTGAAGGAGGGCAACTCAACTTCCACAATGAGGGAGGAAATTGTGATTTTGATCCCGTGGGTCGGCAAGGACGTCTATGGAGACTACGGTCACGTAGGGTGCAAATGGATCCCTCAGAAGCTCCTTCGCACCGAGGCGGACCGGAAGGCCGCTGCCAAATGGCGGCACAACTCAATCGAGTTTGTGAAGCTGTGGGGCGCTGTGGCGCTGTGCTTGCGATCCTCCCCTCGCCTTCGCGCTTGGGTTCATATGATAACCGTCTGATAACCGAATCGCCCACGCGCGGAACTACTTGGAGCTTCAGTCCACCATGCTAATTGCTTAGTGGCATTCGATCTGCGGGGGCCCCCATTCCGCATTGTTCGCTTCGTCCACCGCTGGTTGCGGTTTACCGTGGACAACTTGCTACGGGTCCTCTACCCCAATGCGATTGGCTCACCACCTGGAACATGCTTCTCCACGGAGGCACCTCACGGCAGGACTGCTCCGCGACCATTTGTTGCACCTCACTTGCCGCAATCTCTGGCCGCCATGAATTTCGGGCGTTGAGGAAGGAAGGAAGGAAGGAAGGAAAGAAAGGGAAGGCAAGGGAAGGCAAGGCAAGAGAAGGGAAGGAAGAGAAAGAGGAATGAGAGGAAAAGAAAGGAAAAGACAGGAAAGGAAGAAGGAAGGGAAATGATGAAGGGAAGGGAAAGGAAAAGTGCATGGGTTCGGCCTTAAATTCAGGAGTTGTTTGGAGGACTACAGGGACGAGCTTTTTGCTGGTAGATTTGGAGGCTTGGCTTAGTGGAGGCCTCTCGCTGAATTACACCCTTAAATTCACTGTCTTTTGGAGGACTACAGGCACGAGCTCTTTGCTGGTTTTTCCTAGAACGAACCTCTGTATGGTCTCACACTTTATGTACATATATGACTGATACATGTGGCTCAAGACTGAGAAAAGCCGCTTGCTTTTGCAACCGACTGCATTCGACAGGCGTCCTAGCATCGTCCGATTGAACCTCTCTCGAGACCGTGTTCTTTCCAAGGGAAATCCACTGCCTTGCACTTCGTGTCACCCCCCACCCCCCCATCCCAACCCAACATCATCAATCAGACGCAGAGCGTCTGTGTGACATGGTACTGTGGAAGCAATGAGCAAAAAGAATCATCATGTAGATGAATGTCCAGAGGGACGTTATTGACACCCCCCCACCCCCCCCACCCTTCCATCCCAACCCAACATCATCAATCAAACGCACGCAGAGCATCTGTGTGACATGGTACTGTGGAAGCAATGAGCAAAAAGAGATCATCATCACTCAATTTGTGTGTGCGCAGGTGAGCAAAGTCTGTGTGCGCAGATGAGTTTGAGGTAACATGCACTGTTTAAAGAAGAATGTAATCGATGTGTGCGCAGCTGAGCGAACCCTGTGTGCGCAGTTGGGTTAAATGTAAAAAAAGGCTGTGTGCGCAGGTGAGTCAAATCTTGTGTGCGCAAGTGAGGCGCTGCTCTTGGTGGAGGCGTGTCAGGCTTCACCACTTAAGTTCCACAACTCTCTTGCAGGACCACGAGGATGAGCTCTTTGTTGGTGGCTCTGGGGCTTTGCTTTGTGAAGGCGCCAGCCTCTGACTGCACAGCCAGGAATCTAACACTTAAATTCCCGATTCTTTTGGAGGCCCGCGCGGACTAGCTCTTTGCTGGTGGCCTTTGGTTGGTGGAAGCCGGCCAGGCTTCACCTCTTAAGTTCCACAACTCTTGCGCAGGAACGCGCGAATAAGCTCTTTGTTGGTGGCTCTGGGGCCTTGCGGAGTCCCTGGCCTGAGAATCCAACCAATCAGGATTCCACCCATGTTCACCTTGTCTTTGGAGGCCCACGTGGATGAACTCTTTGCGGGTGGCCTTTGGTTGCTCTGCGGCCTTGCTTTGTAGAGGCGCGAGCCTTTGAGTTTCAGAGCGTGACGGTGTCGTATGCTACACGGTCCACGGCCGAGGCAGCTGGAGCAGGTTCCTCAAGCTCTTGGGGCTCCTGAAAACTCTGCCGAGCTCATGCGAAACGGAATTCCGCGTTGCCATTGGAGCTGCGGCCGGGCCGCGTGCCTCGCATCTGTTCGCGGTGGCGTTGCGATGGGGATCGCAGCGTGGTGCTGCGTGGGTGCAGCCTCTGTACCCAAGATATTATTGATGGTAGGCCTTTGAGGACAAGCTGCTTGCGGGTCGATTTCTTAGACGCTGGATGGGTCTTCTCAACTAGCGCAACTAGCGTCGATCGAGCAGGTTGTTTTGTAAAAAACTGGCAGGCTGATCTGAGACATCGCCAATAGCAAGTGCTCAAAGTCTGCTTGGGTGGGACGAGCGCCCTTTCTGTGAGGCTCTGGGTTTGATTGGGGCACTCACTTCAGTTTGCACGTTGCATTACGCACGATGGCGCCATTGCGAAGGAACGATGTCGAACGGCTATGTTCCTATCTGGAACATCCCCGCTGAGCTGGGTTCGCCCTGCTCGTTGACCTTCTGGCTGGGGCCTTGCCCGTCTGGAGAGTCAACTGGCTTAGCCTGAGCGCTCGCTACTTTTAATTTGCTAAGGATCCTTGCCCTGTCCAGCGATGGTTGGATCTGCGAAATAATATGGAAAGACAGCCCGGGCGCGCCTTTGAATCCTTTCCAAGTCCGCCCGGGACCCAGTTAAAAACATCGCGCCTTTGCGTTTGCAGCTTCAAGTCCAGTTGTCTGGCGCCATCGGCTGCAAGGCCGTAACAATTTTGCGTTGCGTCGGGCTTAGCTCGATCTACATTTTACTTGGCAGGACCTGGGAAAGTAAAGGCGACGATCGGAATTTCTGATTTCGATCGACCGTCAAGACGCCGGCGCGGCCTAGCGAGGCCTGGCCTGCCTGCGGTTGGACCTTGTTGACATATTGTACAATAGCGCTGTAGACCCCCACCCCACCCTGCAGGATGCAGGTGAGTGCAAGAGTAGCGCTTGAATGTAGTGCTTGAGTGTAGTGCTGTCGT